GTTATTAGAGAAATTGTATATATTGTTTTCTTATTTCTACTTACTTCACTTTGCATCTGTAAGGCTTTGTATACTTCTCTGAATTCATTTTTTCTTACAGTACAGAAATATTCCATTACATTTATGTACTAAAACTTGCTTAAGCCACTCTCCAATTGATTGGAATCTATTTTGTTTTAATTTCTTTATTATCACAAAAAGTACTGTGAGGGAGAGATTGGTGCAATTTGAACATTTCTTTCTGCCTTTGGCCTTCTTGGCTCTTATGCTTAGCCACATCTCTGTCAAAGGGCACAGGTATTTTAGTTCCTTTCTTTGAATAATTCCAAATTGCTTTCCAGAATGGTTAAACCAATTTATAGTTCTACCAATAGTCCTAATAATCTGTCTTTCTACAGTTTTTATGTGATATAGTTTGCTCTGGCCTCACTCTCTCAAGGCCAGGCTTACTATATTTTATTGCTACAGGATTATTTGGTACCTTGAGGGAGTTGAGAATATCTTTTTTCCTGCCACAGGCTTTAACCCCCCTCAATGTTTTTACCCTCATTTTTCCAGTAACTAGCACTGCAGTTCCATTTAACCACTTCACACTGGCTTAGCTTTTACAAAGGGATATATTTATTTCTAAAATATAAAAAAAGAAAAGTACAAACATTCTCCCTCCTCCCTCCCCAAACACCTCAGGAGCATAATCTTTTCTATATCTATTCCCCAGGTCTTTGAGGAAGAGATGAAATTAGGCTCATGGTTTAGCTCAGTTCCTCATTCGTTCTGCCAAGTTCAGGTCAAAGTCCATATGGGCTAGTGTCTCTGGACTCATGCTTCTCAGGGCTTTGTTACTAGATTGCAACATGTGGCCTGGATTCCTGGGCTTCCAGATCCCCTGGGGCTGAAGTTCCCATTCCAGATTGGAGATTATACTTCTTGAGCCTAGGACAGAAAAAAATGAAGGAAAAGGCCAAAATTCCAGACTCATTTCTTAAGGCCTTGCCTCTAGGGGTAAAGGGAAAAAAAGATCCTAGGCTCCTTTCCTCTACTACATGGTCTCATTGGCTAAGTGAAGCCCTTCATCCTCACACAGGAATGCTGTAAAAAAACCACCTGAGTTTCTGAATCAGGATGTTTTAAAGACACTGAATTTTCTAGTTACATAGCCAATGGGGGAAAAAAGCTGCTTCCAGTCAAGTAGTAGGCCTATGTAGAATGTCCACGCAATGCTCTAGTCCTGCAGTCTCCTTTTAGCAGGTCCCTGGTATCTTCTAAGTAGTTAATGCCATTTTAGGTGGTCTAGGCTCTGCGCCAAATTAATTTCAACAGTGACTATTTTCATCTTTGGTTGTCCGTCAATTTGTTGATGTGGGAGATGAAGTCTCAGAATTGTTATGACTAATCTTCCATATGGCTGAGTTTGTACTTTTCTTTTGACAACTGTGTGTATGCTTTGATCACTTATCCATTGGGGAATGGCTCTTGGTTACATAGTTATGTTAGTAGCCTATGTATCTAGGATATATCTCCTATCACAGATATTCTATGCAAAGATTTTTTTTTCTCACTTGAAAGCTTCCTTTTTTCTCCTGGCTGATTCGGTTTTGTTTGTTCAAAAGCTTTCAAATTTCATGTAATTGAAATTATGTTATCTTTCATGATCACTGCTAAAGCTTGTTTTGATAAAAACTTTTCCCCAAACTCTCTTTTCACAGCCATTGCTTTGAAAGGTACCTCATCTCATCCTCTTCTTAAAAACCCAAAATTTTTCTTAATGGTGTGACCTTTAATTATCAGGTCTTGTGTCCATTATGAATTTTTTGTGGTATTCCTCATTTCCCACCTGGCTACAATCATTCTGGTCTTCTTTGGCTTCACTAATTTTGGACTCATTTGGCTTCACTAATTTTGGACTCATTTGGCTTTTCCATGTTCCCCACTGGGTACCTTTCTCTGACCTCCTCTTTCAATTGTCTTTTTGGAGTAGTCTTTCTGCCACTAAATTGTAAGCCCCTAGAGAGTAAGGGCACTTTTTTTTTGGTACCTCTAGCATTTAGCCCATTGTCTGGCATATAGTAGGTGCTAATATTTATTGACTACTGACAATATAAAGTGTTGGTCTAAATATACTAACATGCTTTCCAGCTTTCCTAGCTCTTTTTAATTGTGTAGTTCTTCCCCAAATCAATCAATCAATCAACCAATCAAGATTTATTAAGGGCTTAAGCACTGGGGACGAAAAAAGAGAAAAAAAAAATGTTCCCACCCTGAAGGATGTTACAGTCATTTATATTACTGAATTTAGGGTTCAATGATTTCTGATTCTTTTTTTTTTTATCTAATCTGTTCCACTGATCTATTTTTCTTGTTTTTAACCATTACCAAATAATTCTGATGATTGCTGTTTTAAAATGTGATTTAAGGTCCAGAAGTGCTTGTGGTCCCTTCATTTCTACCTCCCCACCCCCGACTCCCAATATTTGTCTTATATTCCATTCCTTTTGTTTCTTCAAAGTAGCCCCTTGGTAGCTTGATCAGTATGGAACTAAAACTGTACATTGATTTTAGTACTCTTGTAATTTTTATTATATTGGAATAGCCCAACCAATACTAACAACTATTGCTCCAATTATATCTCATTTTTTACTTTTAATAAGAGTATTTTAAAATTTTTTGTCTTGACTTTGGTAGATTGCCTGACATTTTTTACATTTTGCAGTTATTTTCCGTGGGACTTTTATTTCTTCCTGGATTTTGTTTTTGCTATAGAAATGGTGATGATATTTTATGGATTTATTTTGTATCTTGTTACTTTGTTAAAGCTATTATTGTTTCAATTTGTACATTTTTCTTCTCATCTAATTGTTCCAGCCAGCTTTTCTAGAATTACTTGAAATAATAGTGAAGACAAAGGGTTTCCTTGTCTTTCTTTTACTGGGGAAGCTTTTAGTGTTTCTCCACTGCAAATAATACTAGCTGTTGATTTCAGATGCATGCTTTTGGTCATATTAAAGGACTTTTTTTTTGTCTTTTTCTTAAGGATTTAAACATGAGTACTGTGTTTTGTGAAAGGTTTCTTTTTCATTTATTGAAAATCCTGTGGTTTTTGTAATTTAGATGATTAACTGCAAATTGTTTTGATATTTTGATATGAATTCAATTTGATCATAGAGAATTATTTTCGGGATGCATTGCTACATGCAGTCTTGCAAAACATCATTATTTGTCAGTCAGTTAACATTTAAGTGCCTACTCCAACACCAGGCATTGTGCTAAGTGCTAATTTCATTAAGTAACTAATTCTTTAAAATGAAATCAGTCTGTAGTTTTCTCTGCTTTCTCTTTCTGGTTTGTCTACCAGGATTATATTTGTCCCTTTAAAGGAATTTGACAGAATGTCTTCTGTTTCTATTTTTGAGAACATTTTTTGTAGCATAACTATTAACTGCTATTAAAATGCCTGAATTAATTTCTATCTAGCCTGTGGGTCCCCCCACCCCACTTCTGACAGTTCACATAGTTCTCTCAATTTCATTTTCTGAGATTATCTATTTCTTGATTTGTTAATTTAGGATTTTCATATTTTTTTGTAGATCTACAAACACCTGACTGGTTAGTAAGCCGTGGAAAGGTAATCTTGACCTGTAGGGTATTGGATAGAGCATTCCAAAAATGTGGATGAATTAGGTTCTTCTTGAAGTGAGGTATATCATAAGGTTTCTCCAAAGAACAGACAGGTAACTGCATACAGAGAGGTTCGCCTATGGCTGCATTTGCAAATTAAAGAGTTTCATTAGTTTGTGACCATTTTATCAGTCGTTTCCAATAATTCCAATAATTCGCCTAGGCCCTCAAAATACCAGATTTAAAAGAAATCAATCCATGTGACATTCCTGAGATGCATATAACGTGCAAGTCATGAAAATGTCGAATTAAGGAGGAATGACCCGGTACCCTACAAAACAAGGGCAGGTGTCACATTACAGGTAAAGTAACCTGTGCATTGGGCGGTTTCTTTTTCTCGTTCAAAATAATGCCTTTCACCGAACAGCCCTAAAGCTGCAGTGAGAAAAGCTAAACAAACATCTTTTCCCCCAAGGCTTTAGCGGAGAGAAGCTCCCTAAGTCCCCTGTGGCTGCACCGGAACACTGCAGCTTCCTGGCTTCCCTCAGGGCTGGCCTCTACTCAGCTGCCCCCCGGTCAAAAGACCAGGCGAAGCCTGGATGGCTGAGGTCGGAAGAGGCCGAGCCAACTTCGGTGAGGCCGGGCCCAGCCCCCGCCGTCACTGCCAGAAACCTAGGCAGGGGACTGTGGTGGGGCTAGTCGTCCTTGCCGGCGCCACACGCGTCACCCACCTCCCGGAGAACGGCGAGGTCCCGAGGCTAAACGCTCCCGGAGCTCGCAAACAACAAGCCTCCCCAGCGGGCCTGACAGAGCGGCCAACCCACGAAGCGCTCGGAAGCCCATGCGCCCGCCCTCGGCCCCGCCCCACGCTTTAGCCCCTCCCCGCGGGTCCCCAGCAGTCACCGCGAGATCTCATCACCTCTCGCGAGGCTTGCCGTCAGCCATCTTCTTGGGGGTGCTGCGAGCCGGGGAGCCCCCCGGAGTCGTTTTCCATTGAATCCTCGCGCGTTCCCTCGTCCTCCTCTCTTCTGCCTTCTCCGTTTTGTCAGTACCCCCACCCAGGGAACCCCCGCGGCGGGGAGGGCTGCCCGGAGCTACGCGCGCGTCCCCTTTTCTGACCCGGGGAGCGCCGAGCGCAGAACCGGGAAGGGGGAGGGCCCAGGGAAACCGCCGCGGCCTCTGCCTCCGCCCCGGGTAGGGGCTGCTTGGACTAGGGAAGGGGAACGGGAGGGGGAGGGGAGCGCGGGCGGCACCCCGAGGTGCCCACGGCCTCGGGTGGCGCCCCGCGAGCCTTACTGAGCGGGGCGCGCGGGATCCTGCCACCGGCGCCGCCCACCGCGGCCCACGCGGGCGGCGGCGGCGCGCGGAGCGGGGAGGCGGCGGGGGCCAGGGCAGCAGCGGCGGGGTCCTGGCGTGGGCAGGCAGGGAGGGAGAGACGCGGGCCGAGGTCCACAGTGGATGGTTTCTAAAATGATCATCGAAAACTTCGAAGCGCTCAAATCCTGGCTCAGCAAGACCCTCGAGCCTATGTGAGTATCGGGGGGTTTCTTTTCTTTTTGGGGGGGGCGACTGAGACACTCGTGACCGTGTGTGTACATTATCCACCTCCACCTTTCTCCACTGTCCCTTGTTGGATTCTGCCTCGGGGGGGGAGGGGAGAGAAGGCTAGGCCCGGGCTTCTCACACCTAGCCACCTTCCTTCTCCACTCCCACCCGCGGCCCATGTGACTTCTGAGGTTTCGAACTGCCTTCTAAGCAAGCCTGCGAGCCTGTTCAGGCCCTCCTCCCTCTGTCCCTCCCGTTACGACTGCCGTGCCCGGCCCCGCGACACGCAGCCACCTCTTTCCTCCCGGTTACCCTTCTCTCATGTTTCCTGCCCCTACGTGGGGAATCCGAGCCCACCTCCAGCCCTTCCCCCCTTCCCGCCGCCGTTGTACACTGATGTCCAGACTGATTACAATCCTTAGAACAAGTGCGGGGGGGAGAGCGGTTTGGACTCTTCAATTCCAAGGTTGTCATCCTCTCTCAGATTAGCAATTATGCCTGCTGAAAGGCCACGTCTCCCTTTTGCCATCGACCCCTCCTCTTTTCTTGGCTAGCAGATGTAACAGGTAGGTAGTTCTAGGGTACACCTGCTGGAGAAGACCCTGCTTTTTAAATTTCTCACTTATTGATGCTCTCTGCAATTCTCTTTCCCTCTCCCAAATGTCCAACCTATAGGTTTCCCGGAACATAGAAAACATCTGATCTCCTTTGACACGGGGGAGGTGTTGGGTTGTTACATTTAGGATGAATATGGGCAGTGGGTGTTTTGAGAGTGCAGGAGTATTTTAGGGAAGAAAGAAAATTTAAATTTTAAGAAATTCTCATTTGAAAATCTGAAAGGGTGAGAGATCAGACACTGAACAAAGTGTTATTTGTCAGAATTGGCTGTCATAAAATAGTTTCCAGTGGAGGATTAAAAACAATTGCAGGGTGCTTGATTTTCCTCTGCAAATGTTGATAGTACTGGCCTACTATATAATGAGGTGTTTTAAACAGTTTAGGTACTTTTTAGTGCTTTTTTTTCTCCTTTTAGCAGAGAACTTGATTATTGACAGGTAAAATACCTTTCAGCTTATTCACACAACTTCTGTTGCTTTCATGTTTAGTGACGTGGCACTTACTGTAGGGGTACGGAATACAACATGTAAACAAGTAACTAATGTTAAAAAATGATGCAAAAAAGAGATGCCAACTTAAGTTGACAACACTTCCTTTTTCAAGCCTTATGCCTTCAAGTGTCCTGTCAGTTTACAAACCTGGCCCTCTTTCTGACTTAGTAGAAAAAATTAACTACCTATACTTTTTTAAATCTCAGAGAAGTTATGGTTTCCAAATGTAAAATAATCTCTTAGCTGCATAATACTAAGCCTCTACAGTCATTGTTTTTGTTAATATTTGAGATGTGTTTTAGTGTTGACCTGTAATTATTTTTGCCCACTTTGAGTCCCTACCAAAATTAATCATCCTTCCATCTTATTGGTGTCTTGTTCATTTTTTTTAAAAATTTTTATTTTATTTTATTTTTGGCTAGGCTATAGGGTTAAGTGACTTGCCCAGGGTCACACAGCTAGTAAGTGTCAAGTGTCTGAGGCAGCATTTGAACTCAGATCCTCCTGACTCCAGAGCTGCTGCTCCATGTACTGCCGATACCTACCTGCCCCCATTTGTTCTTTTATAGGAGTGATTTTCACCCAGGTTTACCAAGGTAGTTTATCAGGATGTCTCCAGATACCTTTTAATATATTTTTGTGCATGTACATGTGTATGCATATGTGTTGATAGGTACCATATTTTGTTTGGATTTGTGTCTTAATTTTGGAATAAAAGAATTAAAAAAATCAAAACCCAAAAAGGTAGGGAGACTTGGACTTGGACTCTCTATCAGAAGCATATGTTGGACTATTAGTACAGGCTTAGTTTGAAAGTAAAATGAAGTTTCTGTTGTGTGATTATAATTTTATTTGGATATGGTAATTGAGAGATTGTGTGTGTGTGTGTATATGTATATGTATGTAACCAGGTTGTAAATTATTTGAAAATGCTAGGTTGGATTTGGGTTTTTTAAATGCTTTTTAAGCTCCCATTTTTTGCTGTTTTATTTCTGGAACTTAGCTCATTTTATTTTATCCATTTTTCTAAGGATTTGATTTGTTTTGTTTTTTAAATTAATATTTAATTCCACATAGGCCTTAAAAACAACAACAGACATTTTCTTGGGGGGAGAAATGTTGGGAAATTTTCTTTCCCCTCACCACCTAGATTTTTTTAAAAATAGTTTTAAATTGAGACTTTTTCTACCCATATTTTTTCTTAACAGAATTAAATCATTTTTTTCTGGTCCTTCATATCTTTAAATATGCTATATGTGATAATTTCAGAATTTTGGAGCTGATAGTTTAAATAGTTGTTTCTGCAGCTGAAGGTTGTTTTGCAGATGAAGAAATTAAAATAGATTAAGAGACTTACCCAGTTTCAAAAGTAGCTTTGTGATAGAACCTGGGCCTCTTGACTTTACCTTATGGTGCTGCTTAATGCTTGTTGAATGACAAGTCTTAATTAAAAAAAATTCTTTTTAGTGTTTTGACAGTCTAGATGGACTAATGAAATTTACTAGGCATAAATATAAAGATTTACACTTGGATCCAAAAACTTAAACCTTTCTGACTTCAGGATAAGGGACTATGGATCTAGGCAAGTGTTCCAAGGGAAAAGAGCTAGAGATTTTAGTAGATAGCAAGCTCAATTTGAATTGACCAGGTCGTGACAGCCAAAAATTGATTGCAAACCTCAGCTGCTTTCATAGAAGCACAGTCCCTGGTGCATTTATGATGTTCAGTTTGCAATGTTAATTTTAGGAAGAGCTTTGAGAAGCTAACTCAAGATACAGGACAGTCCTAGCACAGGCACAAGATAGTCCTGAAGACCATGACTTAAAAAGAAAAGTTCAAGGAACTTCAAATATTTATTTAGTTTGGAGAAGGGAAAAAAACTTAGAAAACAATGATAGCTATCTTCAGGTATTTTTAGGGCTGTCATATGGAGGTGGACTTGTTCTGTTTGGCCTCAGAGAACAGAACCAGGAAGTTGGGTCAATGTAAAGAATATTTCTCAACAGAGCTATATAAAAGTGGAATGGAGGTAGTCAATTCCCCTCTTCAAGAGGTTTGCAGGTGAATTCTGAGTGACTATTGACTTGTAATGAGGATTCCTGCTTAGGCCTCTGAGTATGGAGACATTGTTAGTATCTTTCTTCCTTTCTTGTTACTGCACCTTTCTCACCATCATAAAATTGACCTCTATCTAAATTCAGTTCAGTAGACATTTAATGTGCACTATGTGTAAGCACCTGACCTTAAATGACCTTTTAGGATATGTCAGTTTTACATCTTCAGTATCTATCACCTTTTCTTCATTCACACTGCCACTACTTTAATTCAGGCCCTAATCATCTCTCACCTAGAATATTGTAGTAATCTATTACTTAGTTGATTTTGCCTCAGTTCTCTCTTTTTGCAGTCATATCTTCCACTACTTAAGTAGTTTTCATAAAGCACAGGGTGGACCATATTGCTCTTGGATCAGTAAACTCCTTTGGTTTCCTGTTACTTCTAGGATCAAATATAGACCCCTTCTGACATTTACAACTCTTCACGGTCTGGTTGCAACTTACTTTTGAGCCTTGTTAATCATTACTCTCCTTCCAGTACTCTGGTCCATCCACACTGGTCTTGGTGTTCCTCATACTTCATCTCCTTTGCACAGGCTGTCCCTTCTCCGTGGAATGTACTCTTTTTTCACTTTGCCCCTAAAATCCAAGTTTCCTTCAAAGCTCAGCTCCAGTGTCACTTATTTATTTATTTATTTTGATTTATCAACAATCACTTCCATATGCTTTTGAGTTGAAAATTTTTCTCCCCTTTCCTCTCCCCCACCCTCCCCAAGACAGCGCACAATCTGATATAGGCTTTACATTTACATACCCATTAAACATATTTTCACATTAGTGAAGTTGTAAGTAAAAATTAAAACCAATAGGAGGAACCATCAGAAAGATGAAACAAAACTCAACAGAAGGTAAAAATAAGTGAGAGCGATTCGACTTCCGTAGTTCTTTCTTTAGATGTAGACAGCATTTTCCATCACGAGGCCTCTGGAGATGTCTTAGATCCTTGTAATGCTGAGAAGGGTTCAGTTTAACAATCTTAGTCATTGCATAACATGGCTGTTATTGTGTACAAAGTCCTCTTGGTTCTGCTTACTTCACTTAGCATCAGACCATGTAAGTCGTTCCACGTTTTTCTGAAGTCAGCCTGTTCATCATTTCTTATAGCACAATAGTATTCCATTACATTCATATACCACAGCTTGCTCAGCCATTCCCCAATTGATGGGCATCCTCTCAATTTCCAATTCTTTGCCACCACAAAAAGAGCTGCTATGAATATTTTTGTACATGTGGGTCCTTTTCCCATTTGTTTGATCTCTTTGGGATATAGCCCTAGAAGTGCTATTGCTGGATCAAAGGGTATGCACATTTTTGTAGCCCTTTGGGCATAGTTCCAAATTGTTCTCCAAAATGGTTGGATCATTTCACAACTCCACCAACAATGTATTAGCATTCCAATTTTCCCACATCTTCTCCAACATTTATCATTTTCCTGTTATGTTGGCCAATCTGATAGGTGTGATGTGGTACCTCAGAGTTGTTTTGATTTGCATTTCTCTAATCAATAACGATTTAGAGCATTTTTTCATATGACTATAGATGGCTTTAATTTCTTCATCTGAGAACTGTCTGTTCATATCCTTTGACCATTTATCAATTGGGGAATGGCTTGTGTTCTTATAAATTTGTCTTAATTCTCTGTATATTTTAGAAATGAGGCCTTTATCAGAAAGACTGGTTGTAAAAATTCTTTCCCAGTTTTCTGCCTTCCTTCTAATCTTAGTTGCATTGGCTTTGTGCAAAAACTTTTTTTAATGT